GAGAGAACCCTCCAGCGCTGGATGCTGTGGGCAAGGGCGGCACTGCCCCCACAGAGAGGGTCGTCTGCTGCTCTGCTCCACAAGACCCCTGTCCAGCAGGGACCGCAGTCAGGGGATGGGGTGGCTTCATACTTCACAGGGCAGCAGTGACGCTGATGGGACCTGAAAACAGAGAGAGAGCCGTTGTGGGATGCTCGGTCATTCCTGAGTCCACAGTCATTCCCAGGTCTGCTGGGCAGGCTGGAAGCCCCCCTTTTGAAACAGTTTTTGGTGGGTTTGAAGCTTGTAGAAACCTTTGAAAAAAGAATGAAGTTAAGTGGGTATCTGAGCAGCTTCAGATCAAAATCTCACCAAGGTTTTCAAATTGTAATAAGGTCTTAAACACAGAATGGTTAATTTCACTCAGATGGAGACGGTGTGGGGTCAACAGAATCCAGAAGAATATGAATCTAGACCAGAATAGAGCAGTCCATGCCTACCAATGGCAGCTTAGTGAGGAATGGCCAGAAGGCCATAGGCCGTGTGGTATGTGTGTGTATATGTGTGTGGCACTGTGTGTGTGTGAGCACTTGTGTGTGTGCATAAGCACGTGTGTATGAGATAACATGAAGCCACATAACGGTTCTCATTCTCATCCTCATGTGATGGTTCAGTCTTTCTCAACAAATCCTGTTGTCAGCCCCAGAAAATACTGCAATTACAAAAGGCCTCCAGAGAGTATTTTCCATAAGAGGTTTGGAGGTGACTCTTGGGCCATGCAGAACACTGCTCTAAAAGGTTTCTTGGGTGCCATGAGCCACTTGGCCCAACCGCTGTCTACTCTGTGGCCTCCTCCATGCCCTGAATCAGAAGTACACACTTGGCCCAGGAACACATCTTCTCCACGGAGTGAGCAGAGTGTGGAGAACCGCGTCAGGAGATCTGTGTTCAATCCCTAGACCGGGGCGGAATGCCTGACAGGTCGTGGAGCCTGTGTGGGTCTCATCCTTCTCATTTAGAAAGTGCAAAGGCTGCTCTTCCCTTAGGAGAATGTAGGAGCTGAGCTGGTCTTAGCCTGGGACAGAGTTTGTCTCAGAGGAGCCCTGGTCCTTGGTGCATCTAAAACACCTCCCGGGCATGTTTCTCTCTGACCACGTCCTTCCTTGGAACTCTCCCTGTCTGGTTTCCTCACCTCTTTCCCCTGCTACCTGCCATCTCTTTTTCCCAGTCTCTTATGAGTTATCTTCTTCCCACCCTTGACAGCTTCACTCCTTATTTCTCTTCCCTTCCCATCTTCCACCCCGCCCCCCGCCACCTCCCTGGGCATCTCAGCTCTGCCCCAGTATCAGTGTCTGGAACAAGCTGGGCACCCCACTGTTTCCACCTGTGCTGGCTCCATCCCATGGGCTCCAGGTCCACAATGTCTATGAGCAGAACATCTCCACTGGCAAGACCCTGAGTCATGTCAAACCCACCTCATCCCAAATGCAACTCCTGTCATGCCGCCAGAGCCCCAAGAGCAGCTTGGACTGAATCCTCTGCCTCCCCACCTCCTTCCCTCCTCCTCAGATCTGGCATCCAAGTCACCTCCAGTCTGAGAGTAGCTGCTTTCTCTTTTTTCCTCCTAGAAGGCTTTGGCTGGATCCCCTCTCATCACGGCATCCAAGGCCTTCGTGGCTTACCCTTTCCAGCTTCTTCCTCCATCCTGTGCTCCTGCTCCACTGGCTCTGAACATTCAGTTTTTCCTGACCCCAGTTCTCCAGTGCCTCCTTCTGCCTGGGTCAGTCTGCCTGAGTCCATTTCTTGGTGGACTTGTAATCATCTTTAACGACCCTATTTAGGCCAGGCATGGTGGCTTGCACCTGTAATCCAAGAGACTAAAGAGGCTACAGAGGGAGGATTCCTTAAGACCAGGAGTTCGAGACCAGCCTGAGCAATGTAGTGAGACCCTGTCTCTACCAAAAATAATAATTTAAAAAATTAGCCAGATGTGATGGTGCACACCTGTAGACATAGCTACTCTGGAGGGTGAGGCGGGGGTCACTTAGGCCCAGGAGTTCGAGGCTGCAGTGAACTATGATTGCACCACTGCACTCCAGCCTGGGCAACAGAGTGAGACCCTCCTGCCAGGGTAGGAAGAAGGAGAGAACTCATAAGAAATGGAGAAAAAGAGATGGCATGTAGCAGCGGAAGAGGAAGAGGTGAGGAAATCAGGCAGGGAGAGTTTCCAGGGCAGAAGATGTCAGAGAGAAACATGTCAAGGATGTTTTAGATGTGAAAATGGGTCTTGAGACTCTGACTCTAAAAGAAGAAACCAGATGCTGTTCAAAGACTATCTGCTTTGAGGTAGCCTAAAGCATGGCCCCCTCCACTCTTCACTCCTGCGGCTTCTGCAAAGCATGTCCTGCTGTGCCGGGGTCATCTCTCTGCTCCACGTGCCCCTCCTCCTGAAGGCTGTAGGAGCACCCAGTGCAAGACCACTCCTTATGCCCCTGCCTGTCCACGGCCTTCCCCGCCCTCTCACTCCAGACCCCAGGCAGGCCTGTGCAGCCCAGACTGGAGACACCCGATGAGCTCACCCACAGCAGGGCTTCATGCAGTGGCAGGGGCGGGGTGGGTGGCAGCAGGAGGGCACCTGCAGGCTTCTCACAGGGTTCAACGCGGCTTTTCACCCTGCAGTGGGGACACCCACTCCGGTTACTACTGCAACACCATTATACTTTTTCGTCCTCTTTCTTCAGTTCCATTGTTTTCTCTCTCTCCTGAGTTCTAAGCAAAAGGGAAAAATGTCATGGACAGAGTTTGGAGGGGGAGGTGTGGGTCATCAGAACACAAGAAGGAGTGAGCGAATCGTTACTTGTTTTTCTGTTAACATAGACATTTACACCTAGTGTTCCATTATTGGAACGCTAAGCATGTGGGAGTTATTTATATCCTACTGCTCAAGGTCATGGCCAAAGTCTGAACGCAAAAATTCAAAAAATTGCAACCTCAGGCATACATGGGTTAAAATCAAGATACAGTTCTCATGCCATCAATTTTACCCTTTCAAATCATACAATTCGGTTGTTTTCTGTATTTACAAAGTGCAAATATCACCACTCTAATTGCGGGGTATTCTCATCACCCCAAGACGAAACCCATTAGCAGTCAGTCCTCACCTATTCTTCTGCCATCCTGTTGACTTCTAATTACAGCATTATAGACATCTTCTTTATGCGAGGGTGAGGAGGCTGGGGACAGCATAACATTTAAAACAGTTTACTTCTAGGAAGTGTTAAATTATATAAATAACCCTAGTGTCACAGACCCAACTCCAGCATGCACAGGCTTTTGTGCGCAGTGGTGTCAGGTGGAAATGTACATGCCATGAGTTGATGTTTGTAAAGTGTTCCCAACTGTGTCTGGCACATGGTAAGTGCCATGACTGTGTTTGCTAATGAACTAACCAGATGGCAGGATTATCAGGAGAGGTAGGGTTTCTGCCCTGATGATGGACGCACAGAATCCAAGTTTTCTCCAAAAGGATCTAATGGAAAAATCCTATCTGTTCAAGTGTGGCCAAATACCAGATTTGAAACACAAGGTTGTCCTTAAGAAAGGGATGATTCCTTATGAAATATTGGAAAATATTCCCTTGTCTACCTCCAGGGAGAAGCCAGGGAATAGGACCAATTTCAGGAAAAATGCAGTCAACTGAAAGTAGAATAACAACATTTTGCAACAATAGTTCCAATAAGTGGATTCTTTCCATTTGGTATTAATTGTATTCCCATCAGATGCCTCAGAGTCAACGGTGTTTTCTATTCCTATCAGCATCAATATTCATGAGAGTCTCTTGTCCCTTATTCTGTAGGATGGAGGAGTTATAACAACATGGATGTCTCATGCAACGTTTTAAAACATAACCCTTAAAACTCTAACTTAGCTATTGGAATTAACTTCTTCTTTTTTTTAGATGGAGTCTCGCTCTGTCCCACAGGCTGGAGTGCAGTGGCACGATCTCAGCTCACTGCAGCCTCTGCCTCCTGGGTTCAAGCGTTTCTCCTTCCTCAGCCTCCCAAGTAGCTGGGACTACAGCCATGCGCCACCATGCCCAGCTAATTTTTGTATGTTGAGTAGAGACAGAGTTTTACCATGTTGGCTAGACTGGTCTTGAACTCCTGACCTCAGGTGATCCACCCACCTCCACCTCCCAGAGTGCTGGGATTACAGGCATGAGCCACCACGCCCAGCCATGGCTAGCAGGATGCAAGAAGAGCTGGCTCCGAAGCCGTGGTTAAGGATGCTGTGCAATGGGGGACCAATCCGCAGGTGCTCCTGGAATACACAGACCCAGCTGGAGGCTCTGGGAGGAATTCCATCTGGAAGCAAACATGCCACGTCCAGAGGCTAGGGGGACCCAGCAGTCAGTGCCGGAAGGGAGTGTGTGCAACAGCAGGGCTCTGGCCCCAACTGAGAATCAGGGCTGGGGGTGGGGAGGCTGGAGACAGATTTCTGGAAGTGACCTGGCAGGTAGGAGCAAGGTCCAGGTGGGAACTCAGAACACAGAGCGGAAGACAGAAAACAGCCTAGTACCACAGGACTCAGAAGGCAGGACCATGCAGGGCACGTGGTTTCCAGAAGTGAAGAGAGGGGTGAATTGTCCATAGGAGGAGCTGGAGCCTGCACTGGCAGGAGAGGCGCTTGGAGCAGTGCTGCCCTGGGGCTGAGTGGCCTGAGGATTGACGGGGCCTTGTCTGTAATGCAGCGAGCAGCAGGACCGGGCTGCAGGAGAGTTCCCGGGGCTGCAGCTGTGAGGAGAGGAGAGTCTGGGAAGGGCATGCAGCTGGACTTTGCAGTGATGGGGTGTGATTTCTCATGCCCGGGGCCACTATTCCCTGGCTGTGCTCCCATGGGGTCTCTAAGTGAGAGACACAGGACCGGATGTGGGCTTTGGCAGTGGGCAGGTGGATGAGAATTCATGTAATGCCTGGCTCAGGGTGTGGCTCTGGAACAAGGCAGGCCTGGGTTTGAATCTCAGCTTTCCCCCTAATCAATATCATGGCCGTGGGGCTGTTATTGACCCTTCCTGCACAAGGCTGATAACACGCACGTGTTGTAAGGATGTATGAAATAATGGATGCTAACAGCATCGATGGTTATAACACATGAAACCCGTGAAAATCAGTTGGTTGTGTTGGCTTGTACTCTGCGTGTCCTGGTCCCCACATCAGTGTTCCTTAACCTTTTTTATTTTTCAAGGCACAAACTCCTTTCAAAGCCTGATTAAAGCTTTGCGTGCTCTCCCTGCAAAACCCACTCATACATGTGTTCAAGGAATTTCAGAGGTTTTACCGACACTGGCGTTGAGAATCTCTGCTCCTGACTTGAGGACAGGGCTGCTTTTCTGACTGCCATCTCTTCTGTCATTGTCCATGTACAGGTATAATCCTACACAAATGCTTTAAAATCAGAATTTTCAAAACTGGCTTTGTGATATGCCCAGCATTCTATGCACAGACAAAAACTACAACCACCATAAAAGGCTAATTGGGATAACCAGGGAAATTTAAGTTGGGCGGTAGAGGAGATGAGACTGTTAAATTCGTGTTTCCCTGCTTAGGTGTGATCATAGCACTGCAGTTGCCTAGGGGAAGATCCTTGTTCTCAGGGAGGAACTGCCAATGCTGTAGCTCCAGGCTGCTGGGGTCTTATGGCCTCTCAGTCCCCACTAGGAGTGGGTCATTTCCCTGGCCAGCTCCTCTGAGTGGTCACTAAGAGAGAATCTATTTGCTATATTCCACTTGCCCTGAACTTTGCCCCTCAAATTCCTAAGCTCTATGGAAGAAGATTTTACTTCTCTCATAAGAAGTGGAGAGTTCCCCTAAGCCCTCCTGGCCCAGCTACAAATCCTTTCTGAGCTGATGAGTTTCCAGCTCGTAAACGGCCTTTGCATTTGAGTGGGTCTTGCTTGCCATGTTTTTTTTATGGGAGTTGGATTGGGTGTACCAGGACTAGGCATTCTGAATTTTCAATTATCTTAGGATGGATTCTTCCCTGAAAGGCTGTGGGCATGTGAAAAAAGTAAACACCAGGGGGAAGTTAGAAGGCTGGGGTCTAAATGAACTCATTCTGTGACCTTGGACAAAGCATTTGATTTCCCGGGGCCTCTGTGTTTTTGGTGGTTACCTAAGGTCAGTGGACTCAATGCCTCTCAGTGAGTGGTAAACGTCTGAGTCACTCTTGGAACATTACGACCAAACAGAAATCCCCAAATCCCAAACACGTGCCTGGTTTCCACTTTTGGGATCAGGCCTAGGGTGGGGCCTGGGTTAAGGGGTACTTTTTAAAAAAATCCACACACGTCTGTTGGGGAACCACGGAGCGGAATGATGCCCAACACAGCTCCTTCCAGAGGAGGGGCAGTTAAGTGGCTTCCCAAACAAGCTGAGGTTCAGAAACACAACCCTGTGAGGCTGACTCAGAGCAGGGGCCATTCACATTCTTCCCGAATGAGTTCTAGTCAGGCAGTGCTCTTTTCTCCTCCACTAGAAGCCCCCGGATGTGGGGTGCCTCGCTCCAGCTGAGGGAGGGAGTGTTTTCACGCACGCTAGCTAGCCCTGTGCCTTCCAAGGGGTCCTTTGAACCTGAGTGCTGCAGTGAAGGCAAAGTATTCCCTGGGATGACAGATGAGGTAGGTTTCAAAGGAGCCCGTTTTCAGACTGGGAGGGGCTGGCCTCTGCACTCTCTGGGTTTCCCTGGAGTGCTGATTCACCAGGCTCTGGCCATCGGATTTCACAACCGGTATCTGGGTTTGCTTGAATCACCTCCTTTCCAAGAAGCAGCCAAGGCTTGACCTAGCCGTGCTTTTGTGTGTTAAACACAAGGCTGATCCTGCCCCCGAAATGAGAATTAACATCCTGGGAGTGTCACAGGCTGCTTTTCCTAAGAATTTTCTGGATTTTGGACCTTGTTTCTCCTAGGATTCACATCTTAAAATACAGTAGCCCAAGCAATGAATTGCCTCAGAACACGTTTATTCAGCCCCTGCTTGTCTGCTGGTCAGTGACCTGAACAAACACTGAATACCTCCCTTCGGGCCCTTCTTTCTGAGAAGCCCAGGCGAAGGGGCACTGATGGCTCAGTTGGGAGACTCCATATTCCACTGGGTCCTATGTTCTATAAACTGGCCACAGTTCTCCTCATGTTACCATGGTCCCCTGGCCATCACCGGCTTCCATGTCCCCTGGAAAGGAGTGTTTCTGCCCCCCTGACCTGCCGAATGACACCAGCCAGCCCACCTGTGCACTCCAGGGACTGTCTCTGCACATCAGCCATGCTTCTGGACAAAGTCCTCCCGAGAAGTACACACTGCAGCCTGTGAGAGAGCAGAGTAAAATCTCATCTTCAAACACTAACAAAGTATGTGTAGCGGATTGTACCGTGGCCCTGCTAAAAAAATCTTCACATTCTAGTCCCTGGAAACTGTGAATATTGCCATATTCGAAAAAGGAGTCTTTGCAGCTATAATTAAGCTGAAGCTATCCAGTGACAAGCGGTATGGTTTGAATGTGTCCCTCAAAAAGCCTGTGCTGGAACCCCTTCTGCTTTGGGCTGATGCAGCAAGAAGGCCCTCACCAGATGCAGGCTCCTTGACCTTGGGCTTCCCAGCCTCCAGAGCTTGAGAAATAAGCGGCTTCTCTCTATCAATTACCCAGTCTGTGGTATTCCACGATAGCAGCCGAAAATAGACTAAGACAAGTGTCCTAATAAGAGGCACATAATGGGGAGACACGGAGGACGAGGCAATGTGACTGTGGAGGGTAGAGAGGGAAGTGATGACACCGTACGTCCAGGAATGCCTGGAGCTGGGGGTGCAAGGAAGGGCCCCCCTAGTGCCTTTGTGGGGAGCACTGCCCTGCAGACACTTTGATTTCAGACTTCCAGCCTCTAAAAATATGATACTTTCTGTTGTTTGAAGCCACCCAGTTTGTGGTTATTTATTATGGCAGCCACAAGAAACTAATGCAGCGCACATGTGAGCGTGGGTGCGCATGCACACACACACACACACACACACACACACACACACACACGGCAGCTGTGAGCACAGAAGACTCTTGGAGGAGAGCAGAGGACACCTTGAGAGTAGCTGACACGGCAGCAGCAGCACAGATACCACGATCCACATCCTCCCTTGATGCCCACATCATTTCCAGGCAGGCCCTGCTTCTCAACCAGAAGCCGTCCACCTTTCAGCTCAGTCTCCAGGTCACTGCCCCGGGAGGTACTGCCCTCAGCTCTGTGCCCCAACAGACCCACACTGCAGGAGGCTGTCAGTGGACCTCCCCAGGGCAATCCCCACCCCAGGCCGCTGGGCTCTGTCCTCCCTGTCTTCCAGGGTGCAGGTGCTCCTCTTCTGACCCTCTGCTTGCCCAAGGGCCCCTCTCCATTGACATCCAGCTCTGCTAGGCTGTTCCATCTTGCCCCATGACCACACGCAGTCCCCGAGCCATTCAATGCTGCTCCTTCCAAACCTGTGCGTGGTTGCATTTGTCATGGACTGTACATCCCTGTCACAGGAGCCTTGGACAAATATGTTTTATTTTTTTCTCCTGGAAATATGCTCTGAGAATCCTTTCTTTATCATTTAAAGATGATTTGAGCCATTTTGGATTTAAATAAAGAGAGTCCTTTCTTTTTGAGACAAAGTCTTGCACTGTCATCCAGGCTGGGATGCAGTGGTGCAATCTCGGCTCACTACAGCCTCCGCCTCCTGGGTTCGACCAATTCTCCTGCCTCAGCCTCCTGAGTAGCTGGGACTGCAGGCACCCACCACTACACCCGGCTAATTTTTGTATTTTTAGTAGAGACAGGTTTCACCATGTTGGCCAGGCTAGTCTTGAACTCCTTACCTCAAGTGATCTGACCACCTCAGCCTCCCAAAATGCTGGGATTACAGGTGTGAGCCACCATGCCCGGCTGCTGAGGACTTTCTGTCAGCCTTTTTCATGTGTGTGTGTCAACTATGAGCCTGTTTATTTTAGGAATTAGGCTGAAGTCCGTTTTTCCTTTCTCACAGAAAAGTTTTCAGCACATCAGTACTGCTAATTATCTATCATTAACATTGCTTTGAGAGTAAAAATTCTAAATGTATTCTGTGTAAATTTTCCTAGTGAGCATGAATATGTCTTAAATATAAATATACTTTCTAGAGATCCGACGATTGTGCTTTTTGTCACTATTTTATCTCTTAACATATGGAGTTTGATATTCCCTGGAATGGTATTTTCCTTTAATTTAGCTTTAATAAGATAGAGAGTCCTATATAAAACAAATATGCCTAAATAAATATAGAGGTAAGCAGTTCATGACTTCACGAAGGCTAGATAATGAGACTACCTCTTTTTTATCTTCACATCAACTCTTACCATGACCTTGGGTGGAGAGGTGGACACTTCAACTTTCACTTTCTCTGCTTCTTTGTAAGATTGTATGAAGTCTTGTTTTCAGCAGGATAAATCAGTTAGCCTCACTGTGTCTCTCCTGTCTATAAGGCAATGGGGATTCTTTTCATTCCAGATGGAAATTTATCTTCTGATTTTTCATGTACATGAGATACATTCCCTCCATCTCCCTTCCCATCCATCATGGTAGAACACTGCAGGGATGGGATCTGATGGCCAAGGTCAGATGGGACATCTGTTGGACAGATTACTTTTGCCAAGTAATAACCAGAGAGAAAATAATTGGAAGAAGACAGACAACTCATTACTAATCATAGAGTACGGCCATCTTGGCTTCAGATGTAGAGTTCAGGCTAAGAATATGTGGAAACTAAGTAGTATTTTTAAAAGGATGTGTTTACATATTAGACATGGTTCATATGTTCTGTTAGACTTCAGAATTGTAAGCCATTAAGCAGAGGCCACAAGATACCCAGAATAATTTTGCTTTGCATCATGGGTATACTGTTTCACTCTCAAAATAAAACCTTCCTAGTCATGATGTCACTGACTTACTAATTAAAGCAGTAATATCACCATTTTGAATATTATTAGAAGGCTAAAGCTGGTGAAACTCACTGGATTACTTTGGGCTGACAGCAGGGTCTTGAGATCAACAGCCAGAGTTGGCATTTGAGGCATCTGGGCATCAAGTCACAGCAGGGAATCCTTGGGTGGCTGAGGTGGTGGTTGGGGAACGGCTGATGTACACACTTGGGAAACACACACTGCCTCTCCTCCAGCCCCTTCTGAGGCATGCCTACCCCACGCCAGGACATTTTGATAATACTAGTGTTTTGTAATTTGTTGATTCCATTTTTCTATCCAGCTTTCAGGAAACTCAGAGCTAAATTTAGTGTTCACGAGTAAGAATTATTTCACATCGATTAACTTTCTCTGCTGAATGAGGTGCCCCGTTACATTTTGGAAGTGTGTGGGGATGCCAGGACCCAGCTAGGAATCAGACTTTATGTTCTGAAGAAGTGGAGTGGCGAGAAGGAAGGGTGGATGAAGAACTCGGGGCAGACTGGGCTGGCAGGGAAAGGCCAAGGTCCGGAAGAGGGAAGGGGTTCTCCAGGAGCCGTGGCAAGTCTCCCCAGGTGCCTCCAGCTCCTCCAGCATACCTTCCCCACCCCCGCATCCACTTAAATAGTTCACAAGGACTAATTATTTAATAAGTTTATTTATGTACAGATTAGGGATCCTGGGTTCTGTTTATATGAAGTTCTGCCCAGTTTGTGAATTAAAATCTAGTACAGCCGCCATGCAGCCACCTTGTTCCATAGATGCCATCTGCGTGTCCTCTTGACTGCCTTCCATTTAGGGAAAGAAGGAGAGCTTTATGTGCTTAACTGAGCTTATAGTAGGACTTCTTTGCATATATATGGTACTAAAAATTTCAATATACATCTTTAATCCTTTTTAGGTTGTCTTTTAAAGAATTTTTGACTAGTTTCTTTTTCTTGACAGTTCTTCTCTTTGGACATATGGGTCTCCTTAGAGGGTCCAGCCTAGGACCCAGCTCTCCTGGCCCTGCCCTGTGTTGAGGGTGGCTGGTCCCTCTGTCCCTGTGTCTGCTAGCACTAGACTTTGTTGCTGTAGATTGATCCAGTGGGTACATAGGCTAATTAATATGAGTCTTAAAGTGTCCCTCCATCCACCCATCAGGATGACAAATGGAGGTAGCAATCATTCTCCCTGCAGAGAGGCTGGCTGCCTCTCCGGTGAGCCCTATTGGGCTGAAACCTAAAATAATGTGCAGTTTTATTACCAAATTCTAGAAAGGTTTTATATGTATTCATAGCAGGAGATAAGGTGAGTAAAATAACCCTTTGCCCATAATTCTTCTGAAGCATCTGTTTTCAAAACATTGTTTTACCCAGAGGGTGCCACTTTCAGATAGCTGAAGCAACTTCTAAGAGGGCCAGGCTGTCAAAACTGAGTTTAATGCATGAATTGTAGTTTAACACTGCAAACAAAATTCATTTAATTGCAATTCTTTACTTAATGTAGTTTTTAAACAGCTTTTCCTAAATGTGGTCCAGAATGACTTGCTTTAGATTCACCTAGAAATCTGCAGACCTGTAGGGAGGACCTGTTCTACAACTGCTTAATTAGAAATGCTCAGGGTAGAGCATGGGTCTAACAGGTTCTGCAAAGATACTCAGGCAAAATAAAGTTTGAGACCCACTACATTAGGGGTTGGCAAACATTTTTCTCAGAGAGCCAGATAGATAGTAAATATTTTAGGTTTTGTGGGCCATAGGTTTCTGGGCCAATTATTCAACTTTGCCGCAAGACAGTACATAGATGGATGGGCATGGCTGTTCTCCAATAAAACTTTATTTACAAAAATAGGTGGTGGAGCTGGCTGTGGCCCACACCATACAATTTGCCAATGCCTGCAGCAGATAGTGAGTTTAGGGAGTGGAACTGTACCTGTTTTGTTTGCTACTGTACAGAAACCAGCAAAGAAGCATCCTTCTCAGCAAACGGACACAAGAGCAGAAGATCAAACACCGCATGTTCTCACTCATAGGTGGGTGTTGAACAATGAGAACACATGGACACAGGGAGGGGAGCACTACACACTGGGGTCTGTTGGGGGGAAATAGGGGAGGGACGGTGGGGGGTGGGGAGTTGGGGAGAGATAGCATGGGGAGAAATGCCAGATGTAGGTGATGGGGAGGAAGGCAGCAAATCACACTGCCACGTGTGTACCTATGCAACAATCTTGCATGTTCTTCACATGTACCCCAAAACCTACAATGCAATAAAATAAATTAAAAAAAAAATCGTCACTTTGTGAACACTGATTAGGTCCATAAATCAATGAATACTTAAAGTGAACACTGACATTTAAGGTTTGTAAAATTCACGTAAAGTAATATTCACTGTTCTCGATGTGTAGTTCTATGAATTTTGGCAAATTAGTAGTGTCATGTGACTACCATCGTAATTAGGATGTGGCAGTTCTACTCCACCTCAAATTCCCTCCCAGGATAGCCGTCCTACAGCATACTGATCTGTTCTCTGTCCCTGTGGTTTAGCCTTTGCCAGAAGGTCAAATAAATATAACAATAGAGCCCTCAGTATTTTAGGTCTGGCTTCTTTCATGTAGTTTAGTGCATTTGTGGTTCTTCCATGTTGTTCGTGTATCAGTGGTTTTTTCCTTTTATTGTTGAATTTCATTATGTGTAAATATCACAGTTTGTTTAGCCATTCCTCAGTTGAGGGGTATTTTGGTTGTTTCCAGCTTGGGGCAATTACAAATAAAGCCAACTTTACGTACAGATATTTTTGTGGACATGTGTTTTCATTTATCTTGGGTAAGTACCTAGGAGTGGATTGCTGGGTTGCAGAGTAAGTATATGTTTAACTTTATTAGAAATGGTCAGACTGTATATTAGTCCATTTTCACACTGCTATAAACACATAGCATTTGTAAAGGATAGAGGTTTACTTGTCTCAGTTCCACAGGGCTGGGGAGGCCTCAGAAAACTTACAGTCATGGTAGAAGGCAAAGAGGAAGCAAGGCACCTTCTTCACAAGGTGGCGAGAAGGAGAAGTGCCAAGCAAAGGGGGAAGAGCCCCTTATAAAACCATCAGATCTTGTGAGAACTCACTATCACCAGAACAGCTTGGGAGGAACTGCCCTCATGATTCAATTACCTCCACATGGTCTCTTCCTTGACATGTGGGGATTATGGAGATTATGGAGGTTATAAATCAAGTTGAGATTTGGGTGGAGACACAAAGCCTCACTGTATCAGACTGCTTTCCAAAGCTGTCCTCTTTTGTGTACCTCCAGGCAATGCGTGAGAGTTCTAGTAGTTCTGCATTCAATGATGTTTTTAAAAAACTGTTCTTCTAATAAGTATGTTACGTATCTCCTTGCGGTTTTAATTTGCATCTTCTTAATGAGTAATGATGTTGAGCATCTTTTCTTATTTGGCATCTATATGTTTTCTTTGGTAAAGTGTCTTTTTTTATTATACTTTAAGTTCTGGGGTACATGTGCAGCCCATTCAGGTTTGTCCATTTTTTAAAAAATTGGGCTTTGTTTTTTTTTGAGTTTCAGGAGTTGTTTATATTTTCTTGGTACAAATTCATTTTCAGTTATGTGATTTGAAAATATTTTTGCTCTGTAGGTGGCTTGTCTTCCCATTATTTATTATAGGACAAAGATTTTTAAATTTTGATGATGTCCAATTTATAATTTTTTTCCTTTACAGATTGTGTTTTCTTTTTTTTCCCATTTATTTATTTTATTGCATTTTAGGTTTTGGGGTACACGTGAAGAACACACAAGATTGTTGCATAGGTACACACGTGGCAGTGTGATTTGCTGCCTTCCTCCCCATCACCTACATCTGGCATCTCTCCCCTTGCTATCTCTCCCCAACTCCCCACCCCCCACCGTCCCTACCCTATTTCCCCCCAAGTGACCCCAGTGTGTAGTGCTCCTCTCCCTGTGTCCATGTGTTCTCATTGTTCACCACCCGCCTATGAGTGAGAACATGCGGTGTTTGATCTTCTGCTCTTCTGTCAGTTTGCTGAGAATGATGGTTTCCAGGTTCATCCATGTCCCTACGA